TAATCATATGGAGTTTCCTTCCTTATGTATTGAATCATTGCATAGACATTGTATGATACTTAAAGAATAAATATCAATAGATCGTTGGGTTTCTAAGCTGTTATTATAATCATATGGAGTTTCCTTCCTTATGTATTGAATCATTGTATAGACATTGTATGGCACTTAAAGGATAAATATCAATAGATCGTTGGGCTTCTAACCTGTTATTATAATCATATGGAGTTTCCTTCCTTATGTATTGAATCATTGTATAGACATTGTATGGCACTTAAAGGATAAATATCAATAGATCGTTGGGCTTCTAACCTGTTATTATAATCAAATGGAGAAATTCGTTTAGCTGCGTCTTGAAATCACCGAACTTTAGATCGGCTCCCACCCGTGGCGTCACTGCTACCGTCCGCTCAAATTATACCTGAACCAGCCGCTTATTATCACTTCTTTTTAGCCACCCCCCCCCCCTGCTGAATAGTCCTTCCTTACCAGCAAATATCACTAGTCAGCCGTGATTCGGTGGAGAAACATATCCTATTGATTATTCATAAATTATCCGCTAATGAAGATCGTATCTCGATGCTTGGTTCGGACAACTACCTTAACAATTGCTTTACAAACTGTTCATTCATACAGCTATGTTTACTTTGTTTTTATTGGTTTAATAAACTATTTAATAAGAGAAGAGTCAACGTATCTTGGTATTCTTCATTCTCTTTCAGTTTTTGTCGCTCCTAATTCCAAATTTATTTCCATAGTTAGTGTGGCTACAATTAAACATTTGGTGTTCCCTCCTCACCGTTATATTATTCAAAAATTTACAGACTTAGAACCAAGCCAATATAGAAGCATTTTAGGCTTTTTAAAACTATTTTACAATCATGGATTTTGTTTTAGCGCAAAGCTACACAATAGGCTATTTGTGCTCTGTCAATCACGGGGAATCAAACTCTAGATTTTAGTATTGTAAGTCCGTCAACTTATAACCATTGGGGACTACAGACACGGAAAAACTTTGAAATGCATGATGTTCAAAGTTTTCCATATCAAGCATCAAAGCTACGATTTATTGAATGTTTGAACTGAACAAAACAATTACAGGGTAGTTGGAATCTATAATGTTTTAGCTTTGGCAAAGCATACACCACTGCTATAAAATAATGCTAATAATAATCATTCACATCTGATAGTTTATCATGTGATCTGAAATGCAAATGACTGGTCATTGAGACATTCATTTTTATAAATAAGGCCTCGCTTCTCTATATAGGCAGTTAACAGGAATATACTCATTTGGAAATAATCAGAACCCCGATTGCTTCCAGTTTCGTACATTTTGATTAAAGAAGTATGTTGGGAGCCGAGATAGAATTAATCCACAAACACGTGAAGTCTGTTTCTACCGTCTGTACATCGATGTGGCTATGAATCTGTACCACACATTCCTGGTGGCCAGAATCGTCAAATAGCCATCGTCTGTCATGTCTACGGTTCAATATTCTGTCAATAACAGTTAGTACTTGTAGCCAACTGATAACAGCTCACTCTGATTGGTTGACTTCAATCCGTCCTAAGGTTTTTCCACATCCAGACGGGTTCTTTGAAATCTAGGCATGATTCATGAATAATTCACTTTAAACTGTGACTCACTTGAAAATAGAAATATTTCGTGAAATTTATATATATATATATATATTGTATAGGCTAAATGCCCAGTACTTTGCATTTCAGATCACATGACATTATTAGATGCCTGATTTTCATAATAATAAAGTATAAAATAATTATAAATAAATAAAATCAAATAATTTACATCATCATAATAATAATAAGTGGTTCGTATTATTTTATAACATTGATTTTGTCTCGCTATAGCTATAAATAATATTACAATTCCGATTATCTTGGCAATAAAGTTAGAAAAAACTACCTTAATTCTGTAGATAATAAAAAAAAAACGTTTTATTTCAGCCAACGCTTCGCCATTGCGGCTTCAACAGGGCTAGTAGTGCAAGAACTGTTTAATCTGAAATATTTTCACATCAAACAATTCCGATCATCTTTTGTTTTGTGTACAGTGTAATAGAGCTAGGTTAGTTTTCTAACGTACATTGATTGTGACAATGTATGATGATTGTTATAATGTAAACAAACAAAAACGTATACATATGTTGAATGATATAGTTGTAATGTTAATTCATGTAATAATGTTGTATGGTTGTTCTAACATAAATACTGTTGTTGAAAAGTAGATTAATTAATAACATTGAATAGTTTTTGTTACGTAAATGACTGTTGTATGCTGGGAAATTGTAGTAACGTAATTAATGTAATACAATTGAACAGTAACGTAAAAACTTGTAAACCAGTGTTGGGTATTTGGGTAAACTAAAAATTAATCTAATACTATTGGATGGTTTTTATAATGTTAACACAAGTGTGAAGGTTATGAAAAATCCTATTGTGATAATCCAGGTACAAATCCTATTGTGAAAATTAATTCATCAAATGTGTTTTTCTTTCTAACTAGTAGAACTTCGCTTGGAATCTAATATAAACTAGGATATGACCCTGAAGGAGTTTATTATTTCATTAATTGTGTGCCTTCTCATAAAAGTACATCTTATAACTCAGTGGAAATGTGGTATTACAAAGTTGTTAATATCTTTATGCACTAATTTAACGAATATGTTTATAATTGTTATAATTATCTAAGAGATACTTTATAAAAGAATGATTATTTAAATCCGTTTTCGAAAGTCATG